GGTATATGATTGTCTGTTTCTCCTTCAGGTAATTAAAACTCATTTAAGAAGATAGGGACAATATTTGGGGGCAGACGTCGGGAAACGATTTTTGTTCTTTACCAAGAAACCCAAAAGGTAAACGAGTAAACTGAACATGATAGTTTTCAGTTGAATACGCTGTAAGAGCTTTAGAATTTTCAGAAAGTTCTATTTGATGAAAACCCGAAGTAACATCTAAAGAACTAAAGTATTGGTTTCCTGCTAAACAATTCTATAAATTTTGTATTATTGGTAAAGGGAAACTTTCGCTATAAATTATTTCATTAATTTTTCAAAAGTCTATTACCATTCTATATTCTTTTGACTCCTCTTGACTTTTACTGCATTGTACTTGATTTTTAGCAATTAAAAATACAGGATTAGAATAAGGACTTGAAGATTCCTCTACAATGCCAGCTTTTAAAACTTCCTCTGTTTGTTTTTCGATTTCATTACGCTCAACACGGCTTAGCTTAAAATTGGGTAAATTTATTATTTTATTATTTGATAACTGAAGTTCTATAGGAGCAAATTTACACGAGCCTAAATCATATTTATGTTTAGAAAAAATTGTACTATATTTCATTAATAAACCTCCAAGTTTATTTTGCTGATCAATAGGTAACGCTGTATTAATGTTCCAGTCTAATACGTTTTCAGATGTTATAACAGTAAGAGATAAAGAAATATTACTTTTAACGTTTCCTGAGAATTGAGTCGTGTTCGTGTGAGAATCGTTGTTAATGTTTTTTACTACGTCTTGTTGATCGCTGCGTGTTTTAAATTTTCCTTCTCTTTCAGAAGTCGGAGAGTATATTNTTTTCCTTCTCTTTCAGAAGTCGGAGAGATAGTAAAATCACGTTTAAATATTCTATTTTTCAAAATATTTTTTCTAACGGCTAAATTATTAAATTCCTTAATTTGAATAATACTACGAAATGTGCTAACTAATTTAGTATTTGGATTGTAAACTAAGGGTGTCCAATGGCAATTTGAAAAAAAAATCATTACAAACGATTTGTTAGGGTTTGTTAAGTGTAATACAGAATTAATATTATTGTTTTCTGGTATCATTTTTAAGCCTAAACCTAAATGTTTTGTGACGGCTGCTAAGTGTTCACTTTTTAAATAAATTGACTTATCAGANCTGCTAAGTGTTCATTTTCTAAATAAATTGACTTATCAGACAGATCAATGCCTAATATTTTTTTAATTTCATAAGCATTAATATCTATACTTTTATTATTTAAGACTGCTTCGAGTGTTGATACTCCATACCAATCGTCTGGTGCTGCTTGTGTTAAAATGTTGCTTTTCGCATCAATTTCACAAACATCCATCTGTACAAGCTTTATTGAATGATTAGTCATAAGTTTTTATAGATTTTAAGTTGTTGAATTTTTTTGGTTGATCAATATTTTTTTTGGATTTCGAGATATTGTTATTGTACACAAAATTTATATTTACTCTATCATCGTTTTTTAATAAAGTAATTTTATCCTCTCGGGTGTAGATTGTCGCGCTATATTTTTAAAAAAAATCAAATCCTAATAAACTATTTAAAGGTAAATTATCGACTATGGTAAAGTCAATCGAAAATATATGACTTTAGAACCTTACTTCTAAAGTACTTTTACCTAACACAGGCAAATGTGATCCGTTAGCTGTAGTTAATGTAATATTATTAAGCTGATAAATAATATAATAATTGGGCAAAATATTCTTATTTATAATGCTCAACAACGAAAATAATAATTTTTTTTATTTACTGTGCCCATTATTAGTGGAGAATCGTTAATTTTAATCGAATACAAGGGTTGAGCGTTTAATTCACAACATACATTATTTCTAAAATTGTTATTTAATTTCTTCTTTCTATATTTATTAGTTCTATAATTCATTACTTTACGATAATTATGGTTTGGATATGTCATTGAACTTTGGTTACCTACATAACTTATATTTCCATTATCATTAATTTTACCATTGTTTTTTTAAAAGAGAATCTATTTCTATTTTCAAAATTTCCGAATCGCTATCGTATTTTCTCAAATTTGTATTTTTTTCAATTCTTAAAAAATTTTCTATTAATTTATCTACTGTACTATTATCCAATAACATAAATTAATTAGTTATTCCATCTGGTAGTTCCTTAAAAAAATACTCTATGATATGTTTTTTCGACATGAAACCTTCAAACCTACGACATTCTGCTACTACACTAAATAAACATTTTTTCTTCTTAAATTCAGATTATTGTAAGAGTTAAAATTAATTAATGACAGTTTAACATCTTCCAAAGTTAATTTGTCGATTGATATTCTATAAATTCAAATATTTTATGTGCATGATCCTGTAAATATAAAGGTAATATAGAAAGTTTTTTATTATCATCCCATTCATTCTCTATCGCTAAGCGATCAAAATACTTAAGATATTTATCTATATCTGTTTCCACATCTCCCGAATATGATAACGGATCGATAAAATTTTGCATATTTTTATAAATTATACACTTATAAACAAAACCAAGATGGTAAAAATTATTATTACGCCTAAACAGCAATTAATATTCATAAAAAAAAAAAAAAAATTATAATATTAATAATAAAAAAATGTACTTAAATAATTATTTAATCTGATAGATTATAACCTGAATGTAATTGGTGTGCACATTAGGGGAATGGAATTCGTATATGAACGCCTAAAAAAGATAGAAAGTATATCTTGGACTCGATTAAAATACAAAAACCGGCGCCTCCACCATATGTTAGGGACTAGTTTAATACTCGAGGATCGAGAATCGGAAGCTACTTGACGTCTGCCCAAATATCGTCCCTATCTCCTTAAATGGGTTTTAATTACCTGAAGGAGACACAGGCAATCGTGTACCTTAGTTACAGGGGATAGATTATTAAATTAATTTAAACTATTGTTTTATGTCAACGTCAAAGTAAAGTAAAGATGTTCAGTAAATATAAGTTATATGTAATGTACAATACGTCTGACCTGAATTCTAATACAGTTGGTTAGTAAGTATATCCAAGTGAGACGGAATTGGTTGGCTATGATGATAATTGTCGATAGACTGATCGTTGAATAAAACAAGTTAAGTTATACATAAGACGAAAGTAATAGTATTGAAAACTATGTTTATAACAGCCCCTCAAACACCACTGCCCTTTGTTAGTTCGATGTCAGTAGCTCTGTTCTACAGACTAGTAGAATTGTCACATCAGCATCTCCTTCTATGCTAATTGTTATGTATTACGAATTAAGTAAATGGAAATAAAACGTGTATAATATTAGTGGTAAGAACATAGTAATAAATGTTTTTACAACACTAAAAATATGATTTTAACATAGTCTAAGAATGCATATATTTAAAAAAAAAATAATGCGAAAGATTAAGTAGATTAAAAGTTATTGGATTTGTCGAAATATCGTGAACCACTCCGTATAATATTAAAATTGGCAAAAAGTGTTGTTTTTATTTAAGCAATTATTATGTCTAGTAGTATACTATCATAGATAGACCAAGTATATTTTATTTTTATTTAATAATATAATGTTTTAAAAAAAGAATAAAAGTATTGAAATTTACTGAATATGAGTTAATTATTGCTATTACAAATTTTGCTAGATCTATATAAGCCTCGGGATCCATCCACATTCAGTAAGTTTAGTTAAAGTAAATAATAAAGAAACTTTGTATTATTATAAAATTTAAGTACCAATAAACTGTTCAAATTTATTTTTTAGGTAATCTTATTTTTTGACCTATTTTAAAGTTGAGCGAAAGCAATAACATGTTGGTTTTACTAAAAAAATATTTCTATAAATAAAAACTAGCTCAAAAAAATATGGCATATTTGGTGCAAGTACATATGACATCAAATATCATCTATATTTGCTAAAGAAACTTTTTTATTAATCAAAATTTTTTTTTAAAAGTTTCCTATCTTCTTCATCTTCCACGCTTTAATCCCAACTACTTTGGGTCGGCCACCTTATATCTAAACTTCCACTTGACACGATCTCCCACATCAGCTGTCCACTAATCACATTCAATAGAATCCCTCCATCTCTTTTTTGGTCTTCCTCTACCTCTTCTTCTTTCAACATTCATTTCTATTACTTATTCTGTTTAAAAGTTTCCTATAATTATAGAAAATAGCACAATGGGCTGTGGCATATTTGGTATATGTATACATGATATCAAATATCATCTATACTAGTCCGTATTAGCGTATAAATGGCTGGCATCTAATTACTGACCCAATATTGGCAGATATATTTGACTGGCCTTTCAGGCAGAATACTGGCGTAAAACAGGTTATACAAAATTTTCAGTACTGACAATATTTTAACGCTCAAACTTAATTTTGAAATACAAAAAATTGGTTTAACTTGATGGAACAGTCCTAAATTTTGCGCAATTTTTATTTAACATATAAAAAATATTTTAAGAAAACGGTAGCACAGTGGGGTCGCGGCATATTGGAGACATTGCATAGTTGGGTCCAGTATAGATTTAATGTGACAGTGTTTAAAATC